AGAGTATATTCAGCGGGCTTTAAACTAATCCAAGGCCCTCAACGCGTCATCAAGAGTAGTAAAATTACGATTGAGCGGGCTTTAAACTCTGATAAGGCCCTTGGCGGGAATGTCGCTGATTGGTCGTTTCCTGGACAACGAGACAGACCTCGTTCTAAGCAACATTGGTACACTCTTAACATGCATGCACTCCGAATTCCCGCGTTTCCTCACGGGACTGTGCGGAGCATGCGCATTACTCCAATTCGCCATGCTGTTGTTTCTTGCTCTTCGCTTCGCTGTGCTGACGGTCAAATTGTTTGACTATCGCGGCCAGTTTCTGATCAATATCCGATCCACCATGTCTCTGTCAGTGAGCGATGTCAAGCCAAAACGCTCTTTGCTTTGCTGCGCTGACAGCTCTTCGCTTTGCTGCGCTGACAGCTCTTCGCTTTGCTGCGCTGACGGTCAAATTGTTTGACTTTCGCGGCCAGTTTCTGATCAATATCCGATCAACCGTGTCTCTGTCAGTGAGCGATGTCCAGCCAAATTGCTCTTTGCTTTGCTGCGCTGACGGTCAAATTGTTTGACTATCGCGGCCAGTTTCTAATCAATATCCGATCAACCATGTCTCTGTCAGTGAGCGATGTCCAGGCAAAACGCTCTTTGCTTTGCTGTGCTAACGCAGTGACGGTCAAATTGTTTGACAATCGCGGCCAGTTTCTGATCAATATCCGATCCACCATGTCTCTGTCAGTGCCATTGAGCGATGTCCAGCCATAACGCTCCTTTGCTTTGCTGCGTTGACGGTCAAATTGCTTGACGATCGCGCCCAGTTTCTGATCAATATCCGATCAACCATGTCTCTGTCAGTGAGCGATGTCCAGCCAAAATGCGCTCTGCTGAGCTGCGAAACGCACTGCCATCCCGCAATTTAGACCCGACAGGAACAAAACCTACTCCGCGAACTAGCCTGCACGCGAGGACTTGGCCGCTCCAGCAGCGGAGCAGAACCTAGCCAGGGCAAGCTACACCCAGGGACTGATCAGTGCCAGCAGCGTTGTTCCAGATCCGGTACTTAGAGCGCATTGCCCACTATGCTAATGGGCAGCCGCATTGGACGGCGCTCGCATCAATTGCTGTAAATAGTAATGCCGATAAATCATGTTTGGGTCATGTTGTATTTTTGGGAGAACAGTAAGGATCGTGAGTCAGGCAGGCAGTGAGCCAAGTGCGCCTATATTCGCTCACAAGTGCAGCCTTTAAGCCATCCCGTAAGGGAGAACAGTAGGGATCGTGGGTCAGGCCGGCATTGAGCCAAGTGCGCCTACATTCGCCCACAAGTGCATCCCTACTGCATGCTCATGTATTGACACGTCTGAGTTCAACAGTAGGGATCGTGGGTCAGGCCGGCATTGAGCCAAGTGCGCCTACATTCGCCCACAAGTGCATCCCTACTGCATGCTCGTGTATTGACACGTCTGAATTCAACAGTAAGGATCGTGGGTCAGGCCGGCATTGAGCCAAGTGCGCCTACATTCGCCCACAAGTGCGTCCCTACTGCATGCTCGTGTATTGACACGTCTGAATTCAACAGTAGGGATCGTGGGTCAGGCCGGCATGGAGCCAAGTGCGCCTACATTCGCCCACAAGTGCATCCCTACTGCATGCTTGTGTATTGACACGTCTGAATTCAACAGTAGGGATCGTGGGTGAGGCCGGCATTGAGCCAAGTGCGCCTACATTCGCCCACAAGTGCATCCCTACTGCATGCTCGTGTATTGACACGTCTGAATTCTCGCCGGGCAATTGTTGCCCCGGTTAGTGTCGGCATTGGCCATACTAACGCACAGCGGTGCTTGCAATACTAGCTCTGGCATTGGACCAGAATATTGCATATTGTATGCGGCAATTGTTGCCTATCTCCTGGTAATACAACGCGTAATGGCTCCCAAACAGGTCGGCTTGTGTGGTTGCAAACAATAATTAACCCTTTGTGACCCCATCGATCGATATCGATCGATTGGTATACAGTGGCACTAAAAATATTATATCTCTGGTGTTCCTTCCCCGATTCTCATAAACAAAGCGTCTATGTCGCGAGAGGAACATTGGCTATCACGTCGAAGTTATTTGAAGTATCTACGAGGTACGATGCCGCCGTGGTGAGACTCGCAGTCGGCGGAAAACTGAAAAATTCACTCCGATCGAAAAATTCAAATTTTCACACTGCGCTTGGCAGGGGTTTTCCCCGGAGTGCTACGTCATACTCAAGCATGCTGCACACCAAAATTTTGCGCTTGAAACGAGCTTTCCGCTGTAGTTTATTTGAAGTCGATGTGATGAAGGAGAATGGAATGGCGGCTGTTTGAACTTTGCTGGAGCTGTTCGCGCACGGCTGCTGTTTTGAGCGGCATTCTAGGCCACGCAGAGCAGAGGCCGTGCAGGTAGCTGGCTTGAGTGTGGTATTAGTCGCTTCGTCTTGGAAATACCTTTCCAACGGTGGCAAGTTTGTAAAAATCGGTGAATGTTTGGCAGAGATACAGTACAAGCGAAAGTGCATGTTATTTGGAGGTGAGTAAATTGTCGTACTTTCAGTTGGGTCACAAAGGGTTAACGAAATGCCAAATCCCGAAAACCCATTTGCCGTATCTGAAAAGATGAGAACTATGCCAAAAACGCCTTTTTACGGTACATGCACAACATGACTTACAGGTTTTGTAATTTGGTTGTGGTTTTGAACAGCCCGGCAGGTAGGTGAACAAGTTGATTATAGAGCAAATACCTGCAACAACAAAGTAGAATTTTGACAGGATGTATATCACTTCCTGGAGGAATTTCTTATTACTCTATTTTGCGTTCTAGTTTGTAGGTGGAGTGTGTGGGTTACAGTGAGGGCTGCGTGCCACCCGGCTGTGTAGATTCACTCAAAGTGTGAGTTACAAAGTCTGAAGAAAATGTAGAACTGTTTCTGCTGGGATGACCACTACACCATAGCTCAGTGGTTACAGCATTACTGGCTGCAAGCGAGGGTCCCTGGATCGAGTCCTTGTGGTGTCAGTCAATTTTTTCTTCAGTCTGTTCCCCTTTGTGTCTTACCCTCGATTTAGTGAACTCTATAAGCAGTACAACAATAAATTATGATAATGTTTAGTTCTAGTGGTGAGCCAATTTAATTATGGTAAAAGAGCAGAAGGACAACCTATTACGAGTTATGACTAGGGATTATTATTATGTATACAAAAGACACAAAGGCACACATTGAAAACCTTGGCAAAATAATTCCGTTGTGCTGAACCATGGCTGAACCAATCATCAGACAGCGATAATGGAATAGGAGGCAGCGCTGGTATATCTAAGCAGAGAGAGGTGTGATAATACGATGGCGAGAGGAGTAATCGCGTGAATGTATACATGGTCAGGCTATTTCAGAGGCAGATGCAGTAGGCGCAGGTCTAGCACTAACAAGCACGCGCTTAATCTCGCTCACACACCACACACACACACACACACACACACACACACACACACACACACACACACACACACACACACACACATACTAACACGCACACACACACATAGTAACACCCACACACATACATACATACACACATACACGCACACACTAACACACACAAATCTCAATTTGTGCGATCGAAGCACGATATTTTACGTCCTGATACTGGCCGTGTGCCGACCACCGCGTGACATAGCAGATCGACGGATTTGATCGATTTGATCGACAATCAAGATCAGAATCAAAATCCAGATGATCAGGTTGATCAGCAACATGATATTTTGCTATGCTACTACAGGTCGTCCCCCGTTAATACGAGTCCGGTTAGTACATAAACCCCGTTAGTACATAAGAAATCTCAAGTCCCGGACGAAACGTGATCACTTCCATACAAATTTTGTCGGTTAGTACATAATTCGTTAGTACATAAACCCCGTTAGTACATAACATTTCCCCGTGCCCGCATGCCACCTACCTCAATAGTACAAAATTTGTTGGTCTTTTGGCCTTCCAGTGGAGACACATCGTGTTCTAGTTTCTACTTGTGGGCACAATTAGCTCAGAAATCAGAGTCCACATCACAAACCGACAACGCTCTGTTTTTTCCCGAGTGACTGTACAGGCAAGACTGGGCATGTATCATGTTAACTGTAGAATCGTCGCTGACTGTGACTCTTATTGAGTCTTATATTATAACATAATTTTTATGTTATATCGAGGGAATCAAGAATATCTCGCTCCCTAGGCCCTAGTCATGGTAGCAAGAAACACTCAGAAAAGTTGAAAAAAGTGAAAAATTCTGGTACCCAAGCAAGTTATGTACACTTTCGTTTAGTACATAAACCCCGTTAATACATAACATTTTTCAAGTCCCAGAGATTATGTATTAACGAGGGACGACCTGTACTGTGATGTATGATGGAATGCTGCTTGAGTGAAACCATGAAGAGGCACGATGCCCTGCACTTCATGATTTGGCATCTAGCTGCAACCTGTTTTCCAGGAATATCATATCAATTTCGACCACGTAGCTAGCATACTGACCAACCACCAAAATCTCAATCCCTGGATCGAGTCCTTGTGGTGTCAGTCAATTTTTTCTTCAGTCTGTTCCTGTTGTGTCCTACCCCAGGTGGGTTCTACTCGGACTCATCCAGCTCGATCACACACACACTCGAGGCCATTACAGTTTTCAGTTCATCTCAAACTCCTTATCCGAAAAAGACCCAGCTCACGTGCGAGCATGCGCACTACATACATATGGTCCATGTCCAGGACATGACAATTTCCCCCTCACTAGTTGAGGCGAAGCATCTAGAACTATGCAATAGTAAACATATCAAGATGCAATCACAAAACTCACAACTGCCGAGACATAATATTTCATGATACACTATACACCATAAATATATAATTATATACAATATCCAGCAGAGTCCAAAATATATCATTAAAACTCCACAGACTAGAGTAGGTCTATATGAACTGTGTGTTCTGAACGTCAATCCTTGAAACGAACTGGTCGAACAGTAGGGCGGGTTGACCGTCGTTCAGCTTGCGGTGACGACGTCTTGCTGTAGCTGGCACGTGAAGTGCTAACCGACGCAGACTCACTAGTACCGGTTGTTGCTGAGACCGGCGCGCCTAGCTCCGCTGCCGTGACACTAGCGTCGTTGTTGCTGAGTGACGGCTGTGACGGAACCTGAGCTGTTAAACTTGCTCCACTCTGCTCAGACGCCCCTGCATCGAACTGAGGGATTTGCCGAGGACGGAGCTGGTTGCGATGGCGTTTCCACATTGCATCACCGACTTGTATCTGATACGTCATCGGACTGAGAACTGCCGTGACCACGGCTGGGGCCCACTTATCTCCTCCTTTGCCGAAATTCAAAGCCAGGACAGCTTGGCCGCACTGAAATTCCGGCATGTGCTCCAGATTGTTCTCGTAAACCTCCACGCCCTTACGCCCTTCCATTTTCAAACGATCATATTTGATGCGAGGTTGTCGCCCCATCAACATCTCGGCCGGTGTTTTTCCATTCGCCTGTGGGGTAGTACGATGCGAGAGCAAAAACCTCTGCAACTTTGAGTGAAGTTGCCCTGGTTCCTCATCCATGACTTTCATTTTGCTCTTGAAAAACCCCACGTACCGTTCTGCCATTCCATTGGTGGCCGGATGGCCAGGAGCGGTACACGTGTGATGAATTCCATTCTTCCGCAAGAACGTTTGAAATTCGTCGCTTGTGAACTGTGACCCATTATCCGTGACGATATGGTTTGGCAGGCCGAAAATAGCAAACACGCGTTGCAAAGCCATTATTGTTGACGCTGACGTAGCATGGGACGACGGAATAACGTCAATGTACTTGGAGTACGCATCCACCAATACCAGTAACATTTTGCCGAGAAACGGTCCTGCAAAGTCGAGATGCAGTCTCTGCCACGGTCCTGCCGGCCATGTCCAAGTTGCAAACTCTTTCGGGGGATTCTTGGCATTGAGTTGACATAGGGCACACTGCTTGACCGTCGACTCGATATCTTCGTCGATTTTAGGCCACCAAACGTATCTCCGAGCCAACCGTTTCATTCTCACTACCCCAGAGTGTTCTGAGTGTAGGTCATTGAGTAGGATTACTCTCAGGGAGTCGGGCATGACCACCCTTCCATTCCATAAAAGGATGTTGTCCTCCACTGACAGTTCCCACCGTTTAGCAAAGTAAGGAAAGAGTTCTGGCTCTGACACTTCCTCCCAACCATTAATCGTGAAATGGAGTACCTTCTTCAGGACGACATCCCGTTTCGTTTCCGCCGCTACAGTAGCAGCCCTGATGATTTCAGATTCTTCTTGAACAAACAACACCTGTTGTTCAACCATTTCATCACGAGTAGGATCGCCACTCATTGGCTTGCGCGACAAATAGTCCGCAAATACATTCTTTCTGCCCGGAATGTACTCCATTGAGTAGTTGTATGCCGACAAAACCATCTTCCATTTTTTCAGCCTCGAAGATACCAGAGTAGGCACTTTCTCTGTGCAGCCGAACAATTTGAGTAATGGCTGATGATCCGTTCTCAGCATGAACGTCCGTCCCAACAGATATTGACGAAATTTGGTAACTCCAAACACCAACGCCAACGCCTCCCGTTCGATATTGGAGTAGTTCTTCTCCGCTGACGAGAGAACACGAGACCCGTACGCTACAGGACGAAGCTCGCCCGATTCGTCCTTCTGAAACATTACCGCACCGAGAACAATGCCCGAAGCATCCGTTTGAAGAATCAGATCTTTCTCCGAGGAATAGTGAATGAGTACTTCACTGGAACACAGTGCAGCCTTGATTCGAGAAAATGCATTCTGCTCATTTTCCTCCCATTGCCATTCAGCAGATTTCTTCACCAGATTGTACAGAGGTACCATTATTGTTGCGAAATGAGGTATGAACCGTCGCAAGAAATTCGCCGTTCCAATGAATGATTGAAGCTCGTTAACATTCGAAGGAGCCTTAGCGTCCCGCATTGCCTCAATCTTATCCGCTGTAGGAGCCACACCAGCACTAGAAATCGTGTGACCCAGGTAGGAAATCTCATCCATCATGAAATGAAACTTACTGGGATTAAGCTTCATCCCGACCTCCTGTAGGCGACGTAGTACCCTGATCAGGTTGTTGTGGTGTTCATCCTCATCCTTCCCAGTAATCAGGATATCATCCACATAGACGATGCACCCAGGCAGATCTGCCAATATGGATTCCATTGTGCGTTGGAAAATTGCCACTGCCGAGTGAATGCCAAACGGCAATCTCACGTATTCATACAACCCCTTGTGAGTAGAGATTGTCGTGTACGGCCGAGAAGCTGGATCAAGCTCCAGTTGGTGATAGGCTTGGGAGAGATCCAATTTGGTGAATTTATCTCCCCCCGACAATTTCGCTAACATTTCCTCAATAGTAGGTAGTGGGTAGTGCTCCAAATCAGACTTGGCATTGATTGAGCGAGAGTAATCAGCACAAATTCGGATACTACCATCCGATTTCAGTACTGGCACAGTAGGCGATGCCCATTTGGAGTGCTCAACTTTGCGAATAACTCCCTCTGCTTCCAATTTCTCCAAAGCCTCCTCGTACTTCTCCGTGATAGAGAACGGTACGGGACGCGCCTTGTGGAAAATTGGATCAGAATCATCCACTCTCAGGGTGATTTGAGCCGACCTCAGCTTGCCAACCTGAGTCGTATCGAATAGCTCCTCAAATTCCTCAATGAGAGCTCTCCTCCTACCATCCATTTGAACATGATTGACATTGACAATCTGTTTCCACGGTAGAGTAAATTGGGACAACATATCCCTGCCCAACAATGACGGACCACCATTATCCACCACACGGAGTAGTGTTGGTTTCTCCACACCATCAATGCTGACATTGAACTTCCCTTCACCAATACATTTGATTTCTGCCCCAGAAAAACCGGTCATGCGTACACTCGGTTTGGTTAAATTTGTACGAGACACCCCAAGTGACTCAAAATCATGGACAGAAATGATTGAAATGCCACTGCCCGTGTCGATTTCCATTACAACAGGAACATCATTCACAGCAATTTCCAATTTGTAGGAGGGAACAGATTTGCTCTTCAATTCGCCCTGATCCGAAATGTGGAACATTGGCATGCACTCAAGATCAGCAGATTCATGCTCACCTGCGTCATCAGTCACAACATTGTGCACCGACGCGCCTGACGTAGATTTCTGCCGACAAACACGCTCCAAGTGCCCCTTCCTGTGGCAGTGACGACACTCAGTGGCCTTGTGTTTGCACTTATCCGCCAAGTGTTGAGTAGACCCACAGCGGTAGCACAATCTCTGCTCTCGAGATTGATGAGATTGATGAGAAACACCAGACTGCGCCTGCGAACGCGATTCCACTGGCCGGTGATTCACCTTGTGCACTTCCTGCTGAGAGGTCAGCTGCACGGCCGCGCGCGCAGCCGATTCCTGCGTCAAAGCTAGTTTGACGATGTCATTGAACGACTGTGCCGAAGTATCTTCTTTCGTCAATAAGAAATTTCGAGTGGATGAGCTGCTCAAGCCAGCAATAAACTGGTCTCGAAGCGCTCGATCGAGGTGATCAGCAAACTCACACCTCACAGCCAATCTCTTCAGACGAATGATGAAATCCGCAGTCGACTCATTTTCCTTCTGCTTCAACTGATGGAAATTGAACGTCGCCGAAACTTGCGAAATTGCAGGTTGAAAATACTTCCTCAAAAGATCGCAAATCTCCGACAGTTTCTTGTCAGCTACTTTCGCTGGCAGACAGAGGCTCCTCAAAATCGAGTAGACTTCCGCAGACAGCAAACTCACTAATACAGCCTTCCTTTTCTTGCTGGCAGCCAACTTGTCTGCAGCATTGGCCGAAGCAGCCACGGTTCCAATATCATTGGCAAAGAAATAGAATTCAAGTCTTTCCTCAAACTCTTCAAAGTCGCCGCCGGTAAACGGCTGAAGCGATGATATCCGAGCCATATCTTCGTCGCCAGTTGTTGTGTCCTACCCCAGGTGGGTTCTACTCGGACTCATCCAGCTCGATCACACACACACTCGAGGCCATTACAGATTTCAGTTCATCTCAAACTCCTTATCCGAAAAAGACCCAGCTCACGTGCGAGCATGCGCACTACATACATATGGTCCATGTCCAGGACATGACAGTTCCCCTTTGTGTCTTACCCTCGATTTAGTGAACTCTATAAGCAGTAAAACAATAAATTATGATAATGTTTAGTTCTAGTGGTGAGCCAATTTAATTATGGTAAAAGAGCAGAAGGACAACCTATTACGAGTTATGACTAGGGATTATTATTATGTATACAAAAGACACAAAGGCACACATTGAAAACCTTGGCAAAATAATTCCGTTGTGCTGAACCATGGCTGAACCAATCATCAGACAGCGATAATGGAATAGGAGGCAGCGCTGGTATATCTAAGCAGAGAGAGGTGTGATAATACGATAGCGAGAGGAGTAATCGCGTGAATGTATACATGGTCAGGCTATTTCAGAGGCAGATGCAGTAGGCGCAGGTCTAGCACTAACAAGCACGCGCTTAATCTCGCTCACACACCACACACACACACACACACACACACACACACACACACACACACACACACACACACACACACATACTAACACGCACACACACACATAGTAACACCCACACACATACATACATACATACACACATACACGCACACACTAACACACACACATCTCGATTTGTGCGATCGAAGCACGATATTTTACGTCCTGATACTGGCCGTGTGCCGACCACCGCGTGACATAGCAGATCGACGGATTTGATCGATTTGATCGACAATCAAGATCAGAATCAAAATCCAGATGATCAGGTTGATCAGCAACATGATATTTGCTATGCTACCACTGTGATGTATGATGGAATGCTGCTTGAGTGAAACCATGAAGAGGCACGATGCCCTGCACTTCATGATTTGGGATCTAGCTGCAACCTGTTTTCCAGGAATATCATATCAATTTCGACCACGTAGCATACTGACCAACCACAAAAATCTCAATCCCTTGACAATACATGCAGAATCCCTGGATTTTTCGCAAAATCCCTGGATGGCACAAAACAAGTGAAAAGGGATTTTCCCGCCAAAAAAAGTTCAACTCTGCAGATCTGCAGATCTGCGTACGGCACAGTTCAACCCTGCACTGCAGTTCGATCAGTCGGCGCGTCGGCGCCCGCCTATAGCGCCTGTCAGTGCAGATCTTGTGGTCAGGTCTTGAAAGTGCCGTTAACAGTTCGAAGTGCAAGTGCGCACCGTACATATTTTTGAAAAAACCGGGACATTCAAAGCAAATCCATGGAGTTTTCAGAAAAATCCTGTATCAGACGAAACTGTGACTTTTCCGGTATTTTCCTTCAAATCCCCAGGACCCCGGGAGTAGTGTTGATTCCCGGGATTTTCCCAGGAAAACCGGGAGGGTTGGCCAGTATGACAGGTATGACAGGTATGCCAGGTTCGAGCACTTGCTTTTGAGGTACAACCCGGAGAGATCGACTTGTTGGGTACGGAAATGCATCCACGGCTATTTCGTGTATCTGGTAAGTTGGTCGTGTGTTTCGTGCATTTTTTTAGGATGCCAACAGTAATTTTGTGTTTCACGCATGGATGACATCTGTTGCCGGAGCGGCATAGCTCGACAAAGAGAATAAAGTTGATTCCCATCGACATAATGTCTCTATTCCCACCTGATCTATATTACTGCAACCAGATAACGTGATGAGCTCAACACAATAGTCATTATTGGGGTTTTGAGCATAGTCATCCGAGTCCTAGACTTCGCTGATGCCGCACTGGAGACTGTCTCGCAGCCTCTCTGGACACTCATTGAACCGGAGCAGTGCAGTATCATCAGCAAATAAGGACACACCTTCAACATGACTGGGAAGATCATTAATATACACTAGGAAAAGGAGGGGCCCTAGGATGGATCCCTGCGGCACTCCGGACAGAACAGGTGAGGCATCCGATAGAAGTCCACCTACAAAGACAACTTGCGTTCTGTCGGATAGGTAGTCTGTAATCCACTCTAGCGCTGCGCCACACACACCGAAAACTTTGGAAAGTTTAGCAAGTAATGCACAGTGCCACACGGTGTCGAAAGCTTTCTCGAGGTCGAAAAAGCATATGGCAACTTTCCGCCCCAGATGACGATGGTCGGCAAAGTTTTGGATCAGCTTGGTGAGCTGTAGAGCGGTCGAGTCACCACGACGAAACCCAGATTGCGAGGGATCCAGAGCAGGAGAAATATGATTATATAATTGATTGAAGAAGAGCCGTTCGCAAAGTTTGGAAATACAGGACAGGAGGGAAATTGTGTGATAGTTACTCGCTTGGGATTTGCTGCCTTTGCACTTGTAAATAGGCAAAAATTTAGCCAGTTTCCAGTTGGTAGGGAACTTGCCTGTGGTAAAGGAGAGGTTAAATAGGTGGCTAAGTGGAAAAGAAATCGCAGGAGCTAGTTTCTTTCTTGAAGGAATGCGCAATGGAACTTGTAAAGACACTATCTCAGCTCTTTGCTTCCAACACGGAGTTCTACCTGGAAAAGTCTTCCACGAGCGGCGTCAGCTTCGGGTCATAAAGGGTACATGAGATCATTCAACGAGATGCAATATCCCGAAATCCCATTTGCCAAATCTCAAAAGAACTACGACAACAACGCCTTTTTACGGTACATTCACAATATGACTTACAGTTCTTCTAATTTGGTTGTTGCTTGGAACAGCCCGTCAGGTAGTTGAACAAGTTCATTATAGGCCAAATTTCTGGGAGAACAAAGTAGAATTTGGATAGGATGTATGATCCTGGAAGAATATTGCGTGCTAGTTTGTAGGTGGAGTGTGTGGATCACATGGAACTTGTAAAGACACTATCTCAGCTCTTTGCTTCCAACACGGAGTTCTACCTGGAAAAAGTCTTCCACGGGCGGCGTCAGCTTCGGGTCATAAAGGGTACATGAGATCAATCAACGAGATGCCATATCCCGAAATCCCATTTGCTACATCTCAAAAGAACTACGACAAAAACGCCTTTTTACGGTACATTCACAACATGACTTACAGTTTTTGTAATTTGGTTGTGGCTTTGAACAGCCCGTCAGGTAGGTGATCAAGTTGATTATCGTCCAAATCTCTGGGAAAACAAAGTAGAATTTGGATAGGATGTATGATCTTGGAAGAATATTGCGTGCTAGTTTGTAGGTGGAGTGTGTGGATTACAGTGAGGGCTGCGTCCCACCAGCCTGTATAGATTCACACAAAGTGTGAGTTTCGAAGTCTGAAGAAAATGTTGAACGGTTTCTGCTGGGATGACCACTACACCATAGCTCAGTGGTTACAGCATCGCTGGCTACAAGCGAGGGTCCCTGGTTCGAGTCTTGGTGGGGTCAGGCAATTTGTTCTTCAGACTGCTCCTGCTGCCATTGCCGTCGTTGCCGATCTTGTCATTCTTCTAGTTGATGCGGTTCCTGGCACTGCCATGCCAGTAAGTGTCTTGTCCGGTTGTTTTTCCGGTGGTCTAGTTAATTGTGAGGTGACGTTGCTTTGTGTGGATGCCGCTGCGTTAGATCATCTTGTACCAGGATGATTCTTTGCTGGACGATGGCAGCGTCTAAAGCACTGACAGCGGCAATGGGTAGGGTCCACACGACTAGCCATTTGGTATCGGTTGTGTCCACCGCACATGCTGATTTTTCTGATGTATGAGTCGTCCATTGCTAGTCATTTGTTTGAGCATCCTGATTGTTGTGCTGTGTATTCAGATGATTTTGTTCGATTGTGTCATGTGTACGCAGTGCTAGATTGTTTTGAAGCCGTATACATCCACACAAAGAAACCCAACCTTTGCAAGCAAGCATAAGCAAATTAAATTCACACTTAGGCTGTTAGGTAGGTTGTCAAAACCTCGTTAGTTATGTCCAGTGATTATCTCTTGTTGTCGCACTAAATGTCACGCTTATTGAGTTATTGAAACTTCTTCGCGAAGGGGGAGCTGGTTTAGAGACCAGTCGTGACAATGCGAAACATATTCGTGTCTCACGAGTTCGGATGGGTCTACTCGTCATGAACGCTACGAGTGGGTTTTGAGGTATTTCTCAATTTTCGAAAATATCTCACCCATTCTTGTTGGCATAAAGCCAGAACCGTCGCAGTGCACACACCTCCACGCATGCCGGCAGCAAAGGCAGCAGCACGGGCAGCACAGAGCGGAACAGCGGAGCTGAAACTGACTCTCACCGTACCGATTCGGCACCAAAAGCGGCCCAGAGTTTGACCCAAGCCAGCGTCATTTCCGAAACCGCCTCCGACGGTGCCAACACCACTCGGAAAGCGGACCTGCTCTCCAGCTCGCACCAAATGACCCAGTCAACGACCAGTACGAACACGACATTATATCGCCCATGTCGGCAACCAGCACGACTGTGCACCCTGAAACGCCGCCAAGCCGCAGAGGTACAGGTACGACAACATCCAACCTCACCGCACACCGACACAACCACTCCTACCATCACAACATGCAATCACCCAGATTCGGCGCGTGCTGAAGATCTCCTATCCTCACTGGTATCTAACACAGACATGTCTAAACCAGCAGCAAACCCCTGGATTACCTCCGAACAATGCAGGAGAACCAGTCCCAGTGCGGAATCCTCACCTGACTCCTAAAATTCCAAAAAAACTAAAAGAGAGCAACAACATCGACCCTGGCCACAGCCAACCCCTTGCCCCAGCACAGGGCTCACGCCTCAGCAAACTTGTGTGACATGATACTCAATCCTAGCCTACAGTGACGTTGTTCTCCACACCTTTTAGGTATTTCATTAGATTTTTAGGACCCTTAGCCATACATGTAGCCATGCGCCCGCTTATGCCAAATTCCACTCCCCTTTTTAATTACCTCCTCCTGCAATGAAGGGTAGCAAGCATCTTCGTATTCTCTGCACAAACGCTTTCGGCCTAGCCAGAAAACTTCCCGACCTACAGCACGCACTCCTGCAGCATCAGCCCGACGTCGCAATTGTGACAGAAACGAAGTTCACTACGAAGAAAGTGCTTCCCTCTGACATTAGTTTCCCTTGATACAGCTCACCATTTTGGTTGGACAGAACGGCACACGGGGGAGGGGTAGCCATCTGGGTGAAGTCGGCACTCCCCTCCATGCTCATCACTGAACTCATGTCCCCCGCACATGAGATCATCTGGTCTTCTCTCCAGCTGGGCCCAGGTCTCCGCACCGTCTTGGGAGCAGTGTATCGGCCGGAGTCCTGTGCCCCTGGAAATCTCACCCTAATTGACCATCCCGACACCATCCTCTCATAAGCTAGACAGCAGGGCCCCCACATTATCCTAGCTGGAGATTTCAACGTGCACAACCAGGCTTGGTTGAACAGCTCGAAAACTACGCCTGCAGGCGAGGCTCTCGAAGATACCTGCTGCCCATCTTCTTTTTCAGCATGTCACCCGTGGAGACAACCCGCTAGAGCTCATAATGTCAACATTCACGTCCCCAGTAACTACACGTACACTTCCACCCCTCGGTCGATCTGACCATGCAGTTGTACTCTCAGACTTTTCTGATGTGCTCCATAGACGTGAACCCCCCCCCCCCCCAGTATTTTACTACAACAGGGCAGACTGGGATCGCCTCAGGGCGCACCTTCGCAACGTGGAATGGAGTGATATCATCACGGAGGAAATTTCCTGTGAGCAAGTTACCGCTTCGATAACTGCAGCTGTTGCATAATTTTTCCCATCCAAAGTTCTGGAAACGAGGCCTTCCGATCCGGTATGGTGGACGCCTGAATGCACCCAGAAAGAGAGGGAGAAGAAAAAGCGCTGGCGCGACCGGAGAAAACACCCTTATGACCCAGCACTTCAGTAGGCATTCACCAATTCCGTGACTGTAACGATCGCAACTCAGTTCCGATCACGACGTGCAAAGGAGGACAGCCTCTGTGGCGGCCTCTCAACTGGGTCCCTCAGAGACAAACAGTGGTGAACAAAGTGGAAGAACGCAGCTGGCAACTGCACACAGCTCGAACTTCCCTTAATTGTCAACTCTTTCGGCCGCGAGTGGGCAACGAGCTCAGGGAAAGCCGAGGCATTCGCTCGCTTCTTCTCAAAGAAATGTAGCGTTGCCGGTCCGGACCTTGTGGAGGCTGACCTACTGGACCCTGCTCCCTCAGATGCTCAACCTCTTTGCACCATCCGCTTCCGCCCAGAGGCTGTGCGCCGCCTCCTGGCAAAGCTCGAAGTCTCCAAGGCTACAGGGCCTGACAGTATTTCTGCTTGCGTCCTTAAGGAATGTGGTCACAAGCTTGCAGAGCCACTGTCCAAGTTATTTGCCTTATGCTTCCGGTCTTGAGTCCAACCTAGGATGTGGAAGACGGCCAACGTGGTTTTGATCCACAAGCGATCTTCCCGCTCAACTACAGGCCCATATCCTTACTGTGCATAATCTCGAAAATCATTTTGAGGACCACCATCTGCTCACGTCGCACCAGTTTGGATTTCGCGGAGCCTCGGAACATCAGACACTTTGCAAGCTCTCCAAACTGCCTGGGCAAGCGCTGTGGGCTGTGGAGGGCGGCGCGTATCCTTGCTGTGGACATCACAGGAGCGTTTGATCGTGTCTCACATGTCGGCCTCCTCCACAAGATGCGTAGCCTAGGCATCAATGGTCTGGTTCAGAGATGGCTGGCCTCGTTCCTCGACACCCGTTCCTTACAGTGCCTCGTTGGAGGCGTACGTCATCTACGTACATGACCACCGCTGGAGTCCCCGAGGGAAGCATTCTTGGACCAACACTTTTCAAGGCGTACGTCAACGACACGCTAGATGTTCTCGCTGACGTCGACAGCCACAGCAGCCCCAGGGGCATGAAATCGTTTTCGTCGTTCCCCTACGCAGTTGTAGGTTCTTTTACGTCCAATTCACCGCTCTCCCAGGGAGAGTATGGCTACCATAGATTTTGGTATTCTGGATAGCTAGGGACAGAAAGCCTAGCAAGGGCCAACAATGTGAACTTGGCCAGCCTCAGCCAAGTTCAGCTCGTCGGAGCACTCCGGGAAAAAAATCCAGCCAAATGATCGAGTAGCATTACAGACTGGGCTACCAATGGACCCTCAAGCCGCCAGCATCAGGATGCTTGCGATCATGAATCAGCTGAGGGAGACAGTGCGTCTTCTTGTGGAAGATTTTGCGGACCTGAAAAGTCTAACAGCCTCCAAAGAACAGAAAAAGGAAGCCGCCATTGCGGACTTTCGAGAGGAGATTCGGGCTCTCCAGGAAAAGAACATCTAATTCCAACGTGAAAGGAAGAATCATCGGAGCCAGCTGCAGTACGTGCTAGGGGGGATTCCTACGCATCCCGGATAGCCATTGAAGCACCAAGAGAGTCCCCAGGCCCCCAGTCCGCCTTCTAGGCTGCGTTCGTTTTTAGCTTCCTGGTAGAGTAGAATCACTCTATTGATGGAGGTAGACGGTAGAGGTTCAGGGGTTTTACTTCGGGCCCTAGACGACGGCTACAAAGGCCAACTGGACAACAAAGAAGGTGACGCCTAAGAGAATGTTTTATGATTTTTCGCATGCTTATAATGTGATAGTGACGTCAGTTCGCTACAGTACTCCCCCGCCATTGGTGAGGCCGGGAGGCGCGAAGCACGATAAACAAGAAAAAGAGAGAAAAGAAAGGAAGCGCGTCATGTACAAGGCGGAAAGGCAAACATAGAATACAATATGTACAAGAGAGCGCTGCGTGTATGAAGTTTGTTGATAACGTGGCAGCAAAGACCAAAACAAAACTCAGAAAGCAGAAAGTGGAAAAGAGAGAGATGCATGACAGAGGCGGGTGTCAGAGTTGGAAAGAAAGAAAAGAGGAAATGTATGCGTGACAGAGGAGTGTTATCATGTAAGAGGCGGCTGCAACGTACCAGTCACTGAGTACAGGAAACACTGGGGCGAGGCATGCCGTGTAAGGCGAGGACTCATGGAGGCGTGCGTACCTCCAAGTCCTGTGCCGGGCATATGCCTGCAAACTGATACTTGGGGTGGAGGTGGCCAATTTCCAGCTTGAGGCCAGGATGAATACAAAAGACGAAGACGACTGAACTATGTGCTGTGACAGGATAGCGGGTTATCCAGGTGGGCCGGGAGGTCGGCAGGGGCCACACTAGCTCCGAGGCTGGATCCAGTTTCGAGATGGTGAGGCTCAAGTTTCACAGTCAACAGTCCGCGATTGACTGGATCCCGAGAGTTGAGGCGAGCAGGGAACTGCGGCAAGCCGAGCTCAGGGATGGCATAATGAAAACTCCGAAGAGCGCATGTCGGGGGTCACCAATTTAGGGTTTTAGGGTTTTAGCAGTCCGAGGCGGATCCAGTGTCGAATGATGCTGAGATTCAAGTTTTATGTTACCGGCCGGCGATTGACGGCAACCCAAGAGTTGAGACGAGCAGGAAACTGCGGCGAGAGCTCAGGGATGGCACGCATCGGGCAAACTCCGAAGTGGGCAGCGTGTGGGGTCACCAGTTTAGGGCTGTATGTTGCGCTCTAGTCGACGGCTACAATGGCCAACCGGACAACAAAGAAGTCGAGGCCAAAGAGAACGTTTTTTTCTTACGCCTGACTATAATGTGATAGTGACGTCAGGTCGATACAGAGGTATCTGTACGCGAAATTTTTTTCTTCTGTATTGAGTTGTGTACAACTACAGTCTGTATCGGCTATTGAGTGACCGGATATAAGAATATATCGGCTACAGTGATATTGGTAAGAAATATCAAGAGCAATACACCACACCGCCACATTGCGCTCTTGGCCGATCCAAACTCTGCACTCACATCACCAACCCCACAGAAACAGATGTCTGGAGGGTCATTGTCAATATCAATCCATATACCGGAATTGTCCTCTTGTAATTTTCGCTGCTGTTATTTCGCTATCTTTCGCTGGTTTTGTAAACCTGAAACACTGACATGACATTTCGGAATCGTAGGAAAGCATGATTCATATTTTGGAGAGCAGCAAGTCGTCACAGAGCAAGGCTGTCAACGCTGCAAACAAATAGGAGCGAACTTTTTTTCATTATTCGTCCACCAGGCGCAATGAGAAGAAACGCACTGCCCTCACATCTCGTTGTAGCTATTTTTCAGTTCAGACCTTGACAGATCAGGACAATGGCACCCAGGAGCAAGAAGAGTGGAAAATGAATAGCAATAGCAGCTAGCGTGTCGAAGCTTCGCCATGATGTCAAAACTCCATGGCTACCTGCAGTGGCCATGATCATCCTTAGCAGATGGATGGTCCTTCGTAGCTGTCTACATACAACTGTATCTGATACAAGGCTGCTCTTGGTTCTGCACGGGTTTTGGTACAGGGTGGATGAAGATCCACATTTTCACTTACGTTGGTTGCAACCAACTCGTGAGCGTCATCAGGTATCGGTCATAAAGGGTGGGGAAGGGTACCTAAGATCAACCAACGAGATGCCACTGGGCACTGGCGGATAATCATCGAAAAGGTGGCGGATTCTGCTCGAAAAGCAGTGAAATTGGCAGAACGATACAAACCTTATGGCGAGCAATTTGTCGTATTTTGCTTCATTTCTTTATCCACATACCAAACATGCATGAAATTTACAAGAAAAAGTACCGAATTCTGCCAATTTTCTGCCGGCATGATCCGCATATGCCTAGATGCCACATCCCGAAAACCCATTCGACACATCTTAAAAGAACAGAACTACGCCAAAAAAACGCCTTTTTACGATACATGCACAACATGACTTACAGGTATCTCAATTCGGTTGTCGCGTCAAACAGCCCGGCAGGTAGGTCAACAAGTTTATTCTCCAACAAATCTCTGGGAGAACAAAGTAGATTTTTGATAGGATGTATATCACTTCCTGGAAGAATCTCGTAATACTCTTTATACCGTGCTATACACATTTACCGCATATCAAAATAACAGAACTACCCAAAAAATCTCTTTTCCGATATATGCACCCCATGACTTGTGTTGAGTTCGAAACAGGACGACTGACAACGGGAACAAGTTAGTGGGAACGACATTTATTATAGACGACAAGACAAGAGACCAAGACGAACGAAACGCCTACATGGTGATTATTGACGAGTGAGAAAAGAGAGAGAGAGAGAGATCAAGTCTGAACGGCAAGATAAAGGGCCTGGGTAGCTATGGCAAATATGGGCGCGCAAGTAGCTACCCAGGCCAACGGAGCAAAAGGAGACAAAAGGTGCGTACGCAAGTGCATGCAGGCCAGCTAGAAAAGGTACGGGAGGGGGTACCTAACATACCACCCCTCCATGAAAAAAAATCCCGCGTCCTCGCGGAGAGAAAAAAAGAGAGAAAAAGATTTAAAAAAAAAATGACTGACGGAGAAAAAAACACACACACACATACTGCACGCGCGCACGGATCTCACGAAAGTGTGTACTAAATGCACTACAGATTATTCCTGTACTTCTTATAGTGTGTAGTAACTATTGGAGTTTGACGAGGAACATGAATTACTAGTATTTTGCACGGCTAATACAGCCTAGTTACACTTTTGCTAAACATCCAAAAATTAGAGCGTGGCTCACCATGATCGGACCCCTAACTTGGTAATGTTTTACGAACACACGCGCGCACACATACTACAAAAAAATTCACGAAAAAAAAATTTGACGAGGAAGGAACGCATACAAAAAAGAAAGAGAGAAAGGTAGCTGACCTGCATGGCTTGAACGAGACTAGACGAGGTTGGCGTAGGAGAGACGAGGTTGATAGAGACGAGAAGAGTTTGGCGTAGGAGAGACGAGACTGACGAGACGAGGTTGACATAGACGAAACGAATGGCGGTTGAGGACGGCTGGGCATGGGATGATCTCAGGGTCGTGGGTTGATCAATAATCGGGCGCCAATGTTGAGTTCGAAACAGGACGACTGACGACACATTATCCAGACATTACAATGGGAACAGGTAGGTTGGGGGAAAGACATTTATTATAGACGACGAGACAAGAGACCAAGACGAACGAAACGACTACATGGTGATTATTGACGAGTGAGAAAAGAGAGAGCTTGAGAGATCAAGTCTGAACGGCAAGATAAAGGGCCTGGGTAGCTATGGCAAATATGGGCGCGCAAGTAGCTACCCAGGCCAACGGAGCAAAAGGAGACAAAAGGTGCGTACGCAAGTGCATGCAGGCCAGCTAGAAAAGGTACGGGAGGGGGTACCTAACACTTGGATAATATGTTCATAGTGTAGTATCCCTGCCTTGCTTGTAACGTATCCTCGTACGTTAGCGTATCCCAATACGTTAGCGTATGTGGTCTGTTGCCGATTAAAGCTGCTAGCCATTTCCGTTTTCATGAGATTTTATAACAACAACAAAGCCGAACAGAAGAGCTATTTAACCTCCAGGTGTGTACCGGAGAAAGTTCTTTTTATTGCCGCTTCTTTTTTCAAAGAGAATTGGTGAGCACACATGCTCATTCCCTGGGCACTGCAAATTCATTTTCATTTCTCAGAATCATTTTCAACGTTTTTGGCAAATTGCCCTCATCAGGATGCTATATGAAGTGGAAGTCTGCAAAGGAGAAGTTATATACATCAATTTCGTGTTCTTAGGTGTCATGCATGTTCTCACATGCAACGGGAAGACTTTGTGGTAGTAAAATAGATATTTCGCAAACAACAAAAAGACAACTCTTTCTCTTCCTTTCGAAGAACCGAACTTGCCGAGCCTCACCGAAAGCAAACTCTGAAAAAGCCCTACACCAGTACGGGATTCAGCGCAGAGCAAAACATAATAATGAGTCATTATACAATGCATGCAGTGTAGCCGTGAAAACTGGTGAATAAAGAATGCAGTAGATTGGCAGCACGTGACCCATCGTACCGCAGTACGCGACGGCGTCGCGGCTTAGAAATGAAAGGAAACACTGCGAGAAAAGACAAAACGAAAATATCCTTTGTCAAAACTAACTTAGAAGAAACAAACAAAAGGCGACCAAGAATCATTTTGAGAGTCAACGTCAATACTCTTGTGCAGTTGTGCAAATTCTTGTCTTGCACTGTGCAACGCAAGAAACAAACAACCCACGAAATGACTCGTGAACTAACTGTAGGCTAAATTACTACATGTACGCGAAATTGCGTTCCAAAACGAGAGAGCTTGGAAGCTCAGAGCCCTGCGCTATGCTTTGTTGCCTAGCTCATCGTGCGTGCTGTTAGAACTGATGGAAATGCTTTTTCCTTTGATTACCTACATCATTGTATTGCAAAAACGTTTCAATGAGATACTGAAGTTCAAGTAACGTCTTCTGCATAGCTATGGGACCGGCGCTGGCTCTGCCGATCACGGGCGTTCTGGAGTCGACGGGATGTCTGTCCTGACGTTTCCTGGAACCGGCGCTGACTCTGCCGATCACGGGCGTTCTTCTTCTTCTTATTATTATTATACTGACGGCAACTAACATCCATTCTGATTGCATTTACTCGCCTCCCTACTTCGAATTTTTTTTTCAGAAAATCTCCCCATTCACTCAGGAGTCGTATACATAATATGACTCCCTGCTATACATCTACATGACTGTATATACGTTATAATTATTATGCTATCGGCCTGCATGCGATTCCCGGGCTGGTCGACAGGCGGCCCAGCCAGCCTGCTAGTAGGATCTCGGCCTCGCACACAAATTGTGCGAGATTTATGAGTGTTGTCAAGGAGGGAGTGTGCGAGATTTACGAGTGTGATTTTGAGTGTGATTGGACAGGACACTGCGCTGAAATAGAATGAGTGTTGTTGTGATAACATCATTTACGAGTGTGTTGTTACAATACAGTGTTTGTTGTGCGTGTTTGTCGGATACGCAGATAAAATCAGTTGCATAGATAATACTTACGTTGTTGCTTGCATTCTCGCTCTCCACAGCAACTCCACTGCGTGCTGCGTTCTATGTATTCCTATTCTGTACACTGACTCTCTCTGACAGGGTTTGCTGTCACCCTGTCTCTGGGCGCAAGCACCCTCTGACAGACCAAACTGATTTGCTTCATCTCCACAATATTTATCTCCTTTCGATTTGAATTTCTGTTTGTTCTGCACTCTGATTTTTCCTTGTTGCACCTGCGCTTTTGTATGCGGAACTTTGCTGTCACCATCGCGTCGCCATTATTTATATCCATGGTTACGTTGTGGTATGACTCATCGATGCATCATGCATGATCATTCTGCTTTTTTACGCGTACACTTCGATATGCATGCACGCACACTGCAGTACACGTAAGCCAATGCACGCACGCGGGCACGTTTTGCTGATGACAGCGATTTGGCGATCGTTGTTTTTGTTGTTTTCTGGTTGATTTGAGAGTATGGTTGAAACCAATAAGTAAATACAGTCTTCTAGTTGTCTCCACGAAAAGGCCAGGAAATCGCGCTACAACAGGGGTCTGAAGACCGCGTAGTTTTTAGTTGTGGTCGATAATTTCACATGGTCCTTCGAGCCGGATCGTGGAGCTTGAAATCGAGAGTCGATTAGTGTTTAAAAATTGAGAAATTTGGTCAGTCATGGAGGAGAAGGAGGAGTCCAGAGAGACGAGTGAGACCACTAGCTCTGGGACAAAACAACCAGCAGTAGAAGTGTCGGCAAAGACGCAGGATCAGCTTGTTTTGCGCAAGAAGCGCAGGGTGCGTGGGGGCCATCGGGGATCGTGCACGAGATGCATGGGCGAGTTCCAGCACGTTGTGGACGAAGCTTGATATCTGAATGTGTTGGCCGACGATGTCCGTGCGTCTGTGCGTCATGTGCGTCATGCACGCAATTTGCTGGCGTGCAAGAGGGAGCTGCTGGCCGCTCTGGACGCAGAGGTCTTGGATTTAGTGTGTGACGTCAGTGATGGAGACGTTGAGGGGGAAGTCATGGAGGCGGATGACTGGACACTGAAGCTGCAGACGTTCTGCAGCACACTGGACCATATATTGGATTTCCCAGCAGAGGAAAAAGCACGTACCCGTGATGACCGACGCGCCAGTACACCGAGCACACTGGGAGAGAGTTCAGAGAGTACTGCAGACTCGGGAAAAGCAGTCAACCCGATCACTGATTATGCCGCGAGTGATAATACTAGTACTGAGAAGCTTGCTGCCCTTACAGAAGAGAGTGTTGTGGAGTCGTCAGCGTCCAACTCACAGTTGAGTACGCTGTCGTCAGTGTCGACCAGTGGCAGCTCTGCCAGAGTGAAGCTGCCGAAACTAGAGCTCGGCAAGTTTGGTGGCAACGCTATGGAGTGGCTGCATTTCTTTGATGTGTTCAAGTTGCTGATCCACTCCAATAGCGGCTTGACAGATACGGATAAGTTCACATACCTACATAACAGTGTTTACGGAGCAGCAGCAGCAGTGATCAGTGGTTTGAGCCTCACAGAGGCGAATTACGCAGCGGCAGTCAAGTGTCTAGAGCAGCGGTACGGAGATCCGCAGCGTATAATCAGTGCGCACATGGATGCCCTGCTGAACCTGCCAGGTATCAGCAATGAGCATGATCTGTCGGGCCTCCGCAAATTGCTGGACAGTGTAGTGAACCACGTGCGGTCGCTGGAGAATATGGGTCGGAAGACCGAGCACTATGGAGATATGTTTTCCCCAATTCTTCTGCAGAAACTGCCAAAGGCGGTGCGCCTGGATGTGTGCAAAGGTGTAGGCGATGCGTCCTTCTCGTTGCAAGAAGTCCTGTGGCAGTTGCGGGAAGAAATACGAACCGGGGAACGCTGTTCCTATGTGTCCAGCGTCCAAAGTGGCACCAGAGAGCCAAGCCGGGGCGCCATGGCAATAGCGGCATCACTCAACACCACA